GTTTCAATCGTGTCTCTAGTAATCTTTTACTTTGCCTGTAAAACCAGGCAAGCAGAGCAGCCAGACAGCTTGTTATTGTTCTAGTTCATTCCACCTTGTTACAATTCTTTGTCTGTCCTAGAAAAATGCAGGAAATGCAGAAGCCAAAAATAATTTAATGCTTTATATTTCAGCTGAAAAAAGTCAATGGTCCATGAGAGATAATATATATTTTACAACAATCTATTATTTCAGCTCGGTGGGTGTTTCAGGCTCCAAAAAGGCAATTCCCCATTTTCCCATCTATTCTGTTCTCATTACTGAGAGGAAGGTAGTCTAAATTGGGGATAATAAAGTTTGTGGTTGCAGACATTAAATAAAATCCCCAGATTCCATTTTGCCTGGGATGACTCCATGCTCTTCTTTCATTTCCGACCCATGAAAGTTGAAAATGGCATTTGTTCTGAAAGCATGCCTGAGGCTGGAGAGTATTAATATGACTTTCCTGATATTTAGATTGATATTTAGATTTGCTTGCTCTTTTTGAATGAATGAGTTCAAAAGTGGTTGTTCACAGAATGTTAGTGTTGACAGAGGAAATCAAAATGATCTAGGCTTTTCTGTCCCACGTCTGATAAAGGTGATTTGGCTTGTACTTTGTCGTGTAATAACCGGAGAACTAATTTCATTTAGAAGTAATTTTGTTTTAGTAATCATCATGTTTTGTCTGCATTAGATTGCCGTATAGAAAGATTTCTCTGCAGATTTGATTTACAGGTTGTACTCGTAATTAAGTAGTTTCAAGCATCAATCATCTTGGGACAGGCGCAGTACAAAGCAGCAATTTGCGATGTGTCAAGTCTGAGTAATCCCTTCAGCTACGTGTACATTGGATGCCTAAATTAGAATTGAAAATGTCTAGAGATGCACCAATATGAAATTTCTAGGACAGTATGATTATCCCCTATTTGTAACTGATACTGATATCTTAAACTGACAAATTGACATTCATTATTTTAATGTTTTACGTTATGTAGGCATTTTGCATAATTTGGCACACCTCTTATCTTAAGCTCTGCACAACAGCAGGTTATTAAAAATAAGAATCCCTAAAAAAATGGGTGTTATTAATTAACTGACAACAGCAAACAATGTTAATTTTGGAACAACTAACTTGATCAACTATAAAATAAACAAATAAATAAGTTTTACCCATGTAGCTAAGTGCTGCACAGCAGAAGAATACATTGCAGTTAGAACTTCCAAGTCACTCTATATTTTGAAAGACTGAATATGACCTAGTGGAAAAATATGAAAACATTAAAAATGTTTACACAGAGGGAACACAAATGTGCTGAACAACATTCACTGGGTGTATCCTCAGCATCCTCAACAACATTTTTACAGTTATCGGCATGCAATAGATCGGTTGCATATTTATCATGCATCCCTTAAATGTTGGATTTGGTGATTTTCACTGTTCACACTCTCATTTATATATATATATACACACACGAGAAATAGTGTTAGAACTTATACTCACACACTTATACCTGGAGTGTAAATATAGCTTCACCGCTCATGAACGCTGGGTCACAGTAGCATAAACACTGCTACGTTCATCATCACGCACGCATACATATGACTGTGATCCCAGCAGGGCCTTAAAGGGTGGGCAGTGAGCCACCTTCAAGTATAAACCCAAGCAATAAACAACTGTACTTAACACCCTGAAAAACCCTTATAATCCCCCCTTTGGATTTTCTTCTGCTTGTGTGTCCCTTTTATGGGATACGAAAAAACTCTCTGAAGTTTACTGAAGACCCTTTTGGGATAAACAAAGCAATGCTGTCAGCTTGAGGCGAGAAACAGAACAAGAAAAAGAGAGACAGCGGGAGGAAAAAAAGCGAGAGAGAGGGATGGTGCCTTTGATCTGATCTGGGCTAATGCCGCTAACTCTGCATGGCTGGTGAACAAAACACAGTTAAAGTATTTGTCAGACACGATTTCCTTTCGTCTCGCTTGCTCTTTTCACTTCTCAAACGGAGTCACTTACGGCTTCTGTGGAATGTGGCAGAAGACCTTCGTCCTGGACAGCCATGGCTATACTTAGGTTCATTAAAATCAACAACAGTTCCTCCCAGTGGAAATGGAAATGGGCTGTCATATAGATTTTGTACCTCACTAATATTCTTTTGAAGGACCAGGTTTAAACCAGGGCTTTATGTCAGAATGATGAGGTTTAAAATGGTTAAATAGATCTCTGAGGATGTGTCACGCTCTTAGCACCTAGACGAGCCCTGGGTCAAAGCTGTTTTTCTCTTGGGATAAAATAAACAGCGTTTTCAAAAATTGCCCCTTCTCTCTGTGGTTATGAGTTTCAAAGCCTGTCGTTATTCTACGTACTTTTTTCCTTGAATGTCTTGATATCTAGGTTGTTAAAAGTCTCAGGGAATACACTGTAAAATATTAAACATGTTTATATAAAGAATAATTTGAAAATTAAGTCTTGTATTAAACATCCAGCAAAGGTTGAATATAAAAAACGCTATTGCTAATAAGACCTATGGTACCTATCTGAGAACCGGAGACTTCATTTGGACCTGCCGTCTTCTGTCTTGGCTCACTCCAGCACCACCCTGGCTTCCACCTCTGCAGAGTCAGCACATGGACTCTCCCATTTTGTATTGGCCCACTCTCGCTCAAGCTGTGCCCACTGTTAACCATGAACTATGGACTGATTACAACTCCTACTTTTACTTCTGTGTTTGGCCTTGATCTTTGCGTTTTTCTCTGTGTAAATTAGCTGAGTTCTGAGCTTGCCTGCATACCCCAGTTATTACAGGGCATGGTCCTCATATTCTAATGAGCATATGTGCTTGACATCCTTTAATCCAAAACTCCCAGCCTGCTATGCCACTCAAGCGAAACTAAAGACAACAGTGCGAACAGGGAGAAATGAGTGAAACAGGCTCTACATGTGCAGTTGGTGTCATAAACCTCACTGTGTCCACGAAAAAAACATTATCCAGCTTTTACATGGCAGCGTCTTAAAGAATGTAAGGTTCTTATTTACTTTGCTGCTGGATGTGCATCCAGGGAATGCTGTCTTGGCTGGATGAACGAATGAACAGATGGATGGCAGGATGAGCTAGCTTGATAGCTGTTATGCTTGCTAGGTTAGCTTTCACTTGGTTGTTAGCTTCCACTTGGGAAGTTTCTCTGTTCAAACACAGGTGGGAGGAACTACATAAGAATTGTGATTGGTGAAGTTACTACATCTTATAAGTGCTACCCAAGATTAAGACCACCTGTTTTACACTGAAAGAAGAATGTTTACAAAAAGCATCTGCCATTTAGTGAACATTGGGAAGTTATTCACAGTACATACTTTGCATATCTATACCTGCAAGAGCAAGATTAACCCTCCTAGAAATAAAACATGGATTTAGATTGCCTGGGGCTTTAAATAGTTAGAATAGGAATTTGTGATGGCTAACACTCAGTAGCTCATGAAAAGCAGCAAGCTATGTCAAGTTTGGTAGTGGGTTTAGCTACAAACAGTGGTAGACTACAATTTGTTGAGCTGGTGTTGTTATATAATAATGTTATAATGGTATGTTGCTATAATACAATTGCATGCAAAAGTACCTTACCTGCAATTTCATCACAAACGTCTACATCTAAAGTTTGCAAAAAACCTCTAGATTAGAGACATTTTGGAAACAAGTGTTGCAGACGGATGAAACAAAAATGTAACTCTTCGGCCACAATCGCCGAGGGTGTGTTTGGAGAAAAAAAGGAGCAGCATTTGATGAAAGGAACACCTTGCCAACATTTCATGGAAGTATTACAGGGGTAGATAGAAGAATAGATTTCACTAAATATCAGCAAATCTGACAGAGTCAAGAAACTGAAGCTGAAAGGAGGCTGGCCGCTACTTTTAAAAATTTTATTTTTAAAAGCTGTTTGCTGCAGAGGTTTATTATTAGGTTCTGTTCACTTCAGAAATGAAAAATATCATTTGGCCAGGGGTGCCCAAACTTAAGCAAACTGTTAAACTTTTAGCTTGCTAGTAGCATGTATGTAGCAAAATCTGTATTTGGAGTCCTTAATAACCATATTTTAGATTTCCCATTGACATTTTGGGAAAATGGACACAGGGGAAATCTGCTACATTGTTGTTGGGGCTGATTTTGACTTTGAGTCCTTGTTAGGGCATTTCACCAACTACAAAAATAACAAAATATCACAGGTCTTTTAAGGTCAGAACTGCAGGGAAGGTCCACTTTTCCGTAGAATTATAGCCAACATATCGCAACATTTCTCCAAAATGGTAACTTTACAGGAGAAGGAAAAAACATGCTTTACTTTTAATGTAAATCAAAGGAACCAGACTTTTTCCCCAAGTAATTCTGGGTCATTTCTTTTAGTCCATTCATCATGAAATTTACATAGTATAAAGGGTAACAGATATTATGCCAAATTATGAAAAATGACCAAAATGGAGATACAAGGTTTTCTTTCGACAGCAGTGATATGACACCGAATGTGCATATGGTATCACTTAAGCTCCAGTTTTTTATTGACAGTATTCTTCCTTCTCACTGCTGTTAGCCCAGTATGCTTGCTCAGTTAAAATCCTACACAGTGTGAAATAATGCACATAATTCAGCTAGTTCTATTCAGCTGTGCATGCAGATGTGTCAAAGGCAAGTCAATGCACTCGCTGATAAAAGGTCAGTGGAGCTAACATGAAAACTGACCTGATGGAGAATCGAGTCCTTTTCCATCTGCGAGTTTTAATCAGCGACTGTCTCAGGAATGGAGATAGAAGGTGACCTTCAACTGCTGTTTCAGAGGTGAAATACAAAAATTTCAGATCTGAATGCAAAGCTTGTACTTGATGCTTATTATATTACATTGTGAGATGCTTATTGCAACGACCATTGGAGTGTTAGCTTTTGAATATGTACACTTTTATGCTTCTTGTCGTTTTCTTGTCTTTCTTTGAAAACCAGATAACCTTCTGATAGACTACCATTTCACCTTCAGTCTTCTGCAGGAAGATGATCACCAATATACAACCATTAACTTCATGGCCTCTCCAGATCAGGTGAGTGATTATTCAGCTATTCAGCAATAGTCATGTCATTCATCTATTTCGTCTTTCATCTTCTATGAGTTCATAGTAGTACAGTGTGGTACCATATGGCTTTTATGAGTTTTTCTTTGAAGCTATTTGAGCTGCTTGTACATTTAACATACACTACCATATTTTGTCTGTAGCTATTAAATTTGACGTTCTCTTGAACATATGGTTCTAGGAAACACTTGTTGGTGCTGGTATGGAACGTTTAAATTATGTGAAGGCTCTAAAAAGGTTCTTGACAAGTGCACATCTCTTTTCCAAACATATTTCTTTAAAGAACCATTCATTGAGGGTCTCAAGGGTCTTCGGGGAAGCCCAAAAGGGTTCTTTTGTGACATCACGCTCAAGAACCCTTTTAGCACTTTTGTTTTAAGAGTGTATATAGATAAAAAAACATTTTAAAACCCATGTCATTAATGCAGGTTTTGGCTGGGATTGTATTAACAAGATTTTTGTTTAAAACTTTTCTCACTCTTACTCTGCCATTTATTTCAATAGCCCAATAAGAACATGGAGATGTTTATCAATGCATCAAACAACTTCAATCTCAACATTACATGGTCCTTTGGCTCAGCAGGTACGGTGTGTGTGTGTGTGTGTGTGTGTGTGTGTGTGTGTGTGTGTGTGTGTTCACAGCTGTTCATTTGTAATTCTTGCAATACATTGTCTTAGAAAAAATGAAGAACCAAAAAGGGGAAAATAGAAATTATTCTCTTCTGACAAAATACAGTTCAGCTATTTTGAATTCATCCGTCAGGGCATTTGTGAAGTGTTTTTGCGATTTCAATTAAGATAAACATTTTGCCTGCGCAAAAGTAATATCTTAAGCTCAAGATTTTTCATTTTGTTTCAGTCTGAAGGAACTTCAGGGCTGGAGAATATGTGAGAACAATTACAGTATGTCTTCTGGGCACAGATAAACCGAGCAGGCTAATTTTGCTTAAGCTGTCTCCAAGTACTTGTCATTAGAATATTACATTTGATAGTGTCTTAAAAGACAGTTTGGGTGAAAAATCACCAGCATTATTTTGCACATCTTTGAAGTCAGTAACTATTAAGATGCATTATGTTAAGAATAAATGCTGGATTTTTTTCAAATAGTGACTATTGGTAAGCCCATTACATATTATGATTAATTATTTTGCTGTTGGCTGTTGGCAGTTTCCCACTCTTTATTTCCGTAGTTAATAATGCGTGGCCACTGTATTGGTAATTGAGGAAACATAAGTAGATTAAGTGAAGTGTATATTTACTGGTGGTCAGAGATAGCTGCATTGTCAGCATTATCAACTCAGATGTTCTTTGGCCCTGTCCCATGGAAAGAGCACTCTGTTATCTGATTCTCTTGATTTGCGAGCAAGAATACCTTTAGAGCTGGGGAAGTACATTATAGGGGCAGAAGGAACAAACAGTACAACATAGTGTCCTGATATACTGGGTGCGAAAGTAGTTTAGATACATAGAGGTCAAAGTACTGATATTTTATTATTTAATAAAATATTTTATTACTCGCTGTTTATGTGTGTGCATTCATATACTGATCTGCTTAGCTTTTGTGTATCTTTTTTTTGTGTTTCTGGAAGATGAAGAGCTATATCCACTAGGGGGCAGGTCAGGGCCGAAATATTCTTCAGCACAAGAACAGCTTCCTTTATTTATTTTTTTTCTAATTTTGCACAATACTCCAAATGGATACAGAATACATGGGGGCCGGCAATTTACATAAGTGTAATTAAAATGAAGTAAACCACAGTCAGTGATGGCATTGCTGGGAGTGCTTGGATTGCACAGTGGATAACAACACGGCCTGTGCATGGAAGATTAATGGGTTGGTTCCCCATCTAGGCAGGAATGTCGCTGCAATATCAATAAGAGTCCTTGGGCAGGACCCCTAATGCTATATTGACCTTCCATTGCAAGTCAATGTGGATCTGAGTGTCTGTTAAACTTATAATTGTACACGGTTTGCTAAATGTATGAAACTAAGATAAAACAGACATATTTGGAAGCGTAAATTACAAATTGTGTGTCGATGAAGTCAAATTAAGCAGTTGAATAGCTGGATGTGGTGTATGTTATGGTTGAAGCCAAACTCTGCAGAGTGGAAGATCTCCAGGATCACGATTGGGCACCCCTGGTCTAACTCATCCACAGGCAGTTCACAAGCTTCGTTTTATTAGTTACAAAATTTCCACTTAAAACTTGTAGGTTTTAATGAAAATTGCAGCTCTTGTGATTAGTATTACAGCCCTACACTGGAACTCCAGTTATTCTCACATGTGATGCAGCACATAAAGTAAAAGGTCATACTGACAGATAATGGACATGGTATTTTGGAGGAATTTTGGAATTGTAACCATATACATATAACTGCATATGCAATTTCACTCTTTTTTTATGTCCGCACAGTTGGCACAGTGTTGTGGGAAGAATTCTCCATCGTGTCCAAGAACAACATTAAAGACTACAAAAACACCTTCTCTTGTGAGAGATTTGGTTTCCGTGCCAACCCCAATATTACCTTCTATGTCTATGTCAGCAACTTCTCATGGCCCATCAAAATCCAGGTACGAGCTCTCTCATATCCCTTAAGGCTGCTTTCACTCAAAAACTTATTTAAATATTTAAAAGAATACTCTAGTGTCTTTTCAGCATTAAATCTGTCTGTTGTCTTTCAAGTTAATGTAAAAACTTTTTGTGCGTTAGCTTAGAGGTTTAAAAACTTCAGACGTCTGGTTCCTATCACCACCACTGTGAGAGTTTTTCTAGAATGGATCATTTCACATCATACCTCTACGAATGACTTTCTTTACATCTCAACCATTTAGTTATGTAGAAATGTAGAAAAAGCTGTGGAATTCCCTATAAAGTCAGAGAACCTGCAACATAGACCAATTTGGAGTGGACGTCACAGTTATGTCAGTGACAGTTGGGTGTGCATTATGGTGGTAGAAAAACAGCAGAAACACGTGGAGTGAAATGGGCAAGATCCACGGAATAATGACAGAAAATGTCTTGTTGTGTTATTGGATGCCGGAATAGGGAATGGAAAATCAAATGACCTTCATTTTTATAGAATACCATCATTGAAGGTGCCCTTTTAAATGCGTGCTGTGTCTGTCCTTCTCATCCTGACATACAGCTCAACCTTAAACAGCAATCTGGCTGCAGCATGGCCTAACCTGCGGAAAAAGAGTTTAATGCAAACAATAGATCTCGATAATATTCACATACGCTATAGAGGGCATACTGTTTTAGTCCTACAGCTAACAACTTACTGTACTTTCTGTCACCAATTAAGCCCCGCCCACAAATCACACCATCTCTGTTTGCAAACACAAAAATTATCTAATAATTTAAAGATTAAGTTTCAACAAAGTTTCAAAATTGAGATGAGATTTTGGTCAGTTTGTTGTCCAAGCCTGAATATGGTTAGAGAGGAAGGAACAATACATTTCTTGAATAGTGAGCTAATAACCAATATCTCTGTAGATACATTTCTATATTTATTTTTGAAGATAGTTTTGTTGGCTACTTTATATACAGCATAGGATTACGTGAATGACGTGCCTTTTTTTTAACTGCTCCACGGTACAGACGACCTCACGTATTATTTGTCTTCCCCAAAGTATTCAGTTTGATGATGCTGTAGCTTATATCAGAAAGTGATCACGCTGTGTCCTGTTTGCGTCATCCGCGTATCGATTGCGGCTGTGAATTGTTCCCATTAATGCCGTTATATTGGAATCACATATAGATGAGATAGAAACATGAGTCCATAATTACCATGATGAGTCCGGCAGCACTGTCCATAGCTTACTCAGTAACCTGAGAATGCTTTGTTCTTGCCCTTGATCACGCCTCATAGACATTCATACAGCGATGAAGGACCATAACTGCTTGCATGTGTATCAAGTACCATCCTTCATACTTCCCCACATAACACTCAGATGTCTGATTATCTTTATTTTGCTATGGTGTTTAAATGTATTCACCCAATTATGCATAGAAATACATAATTATTAAATTTGATTTATGGTGTATCTTGATAAGTTTGAATGTAATAACTGCTTAATTGTTAATTGATAATGGACAATTTTAGAGTAATTATCATCACTTTGCAGTAGTATTTAAATGATTAGATGATTATCATATATATTTTTTTCATCAAATTTGAATCATAATAAAATATTTTCTACTTACAAACATGTGGTATAGATTGAAAGATTAGAATAAGCACTTCAGGCTGCTTGTTTCAATGAGCTGCAAGTGACAAAAAATGTATATTAAGTGATATGCTTTAATCACTTTCATAAACTTCAGCAAGTTTGTAATGTATTGTAATTGAAATGCTTCATTACTTGACCACAGAGTGAAGAAAGATATCCCTCATTAATGTCCTTCTGGTGTATTGAAATGTATACCTGTTGAGACTGATATTGGAGTGAAAACTTTAAGTGGTTTAGTGAAGGTTATCTTTAGCGTAGTAAGCTCACTGGACAAAAAATTTGTCACCTGTGACTGAAACATACCTAATAGTGTGTAATACCTCCACGAAAAAACAGCTGGTTGTGAAAGACCTGCGTTGACTTCTAGAAGCAATTCTTGCCTGGAAGGGAAACGATTTTTATTCACAAGCCGTGAAATGCACCAGTGGTCCCTGTCCATCAGTTTTGTCTTTTGGCCACAATTCTGACGAGAATTCCCTGTATACTGGGATTTTTGCCACTGCTGGTCGGCCTGTACGACCATACGCTTCAGTACACCTGCAGCTACTTCCTTCACACTGTGGAAATGCAATCACTCCTTTTTGTCAGTCATTAACATCTGCTTTGCGACCCATTTTCCACACAATAAACAAGACATGCACTGCGCTGTACCACCTTTTCTCAATCTATGAATCCTGTCGCACACACTACAGGTATGTATAGCCCGATCATCCTCGTGCAGCGAGCCTGAAGTTACTACCACCTTAAACACACAACATGATAAAATTTTTTCTGGGAAGCTTATTTATATGTCAGATTATTACATATTTACACAATTGCAATTATTTGAGCTGACCACAGTTATTAGCATTCACAGTCATGTGTTCATGAACAGCAAACAGAATGTGAATTGGGTTTGTTTTCATCCACTGGGTTATGGGAACTGCATGTAAATAAAGCAGAAAACACATTATTGACTGAACTGGCACAAACTGAATGTCAAAAAAGAGTTTTCAGGGTTTTTATAAGTCAGTTTCAAAATGTGTGTTGCTTGTCTCTGTCTTTTGTGTCAATCAGATGTGTTAACTTGCCCCTTTGGAAGCACATCCTGGTACTGTTTAAACATGAGACGCGGTGCATTCTGCGTTTAAAAATGCGTCATTTGAGTGCCCCCTCATATGTGGACCCAGTACAATTTCATGTCAGCTGCCAGTTTATAGTAACCCATTTCTCCAGCTCTCACTGTGATATGTGTTTATCAACCACACTCATCCCCTGTTTGCATTTTCGCTTCTTGTGTGTACACCACGCTTTAGGACTGTAATCTAATGGCTGTAATGAACCATAGAATGAACAAAAAAGACTTAAAAAGGTTAAATTATGAATCACAGTAATTTTATGGCAGTTTTGTTTCATGATCGTGTCAGATCTAGTATGCGATTATGTCAGTATGAGGTTTGTATGTTGTTATGTGCAGGTTTATCTCGTATAGAAGGGCTGCAGAGTAGCTTTAAATTGGCTCATTTCTTCCTTTGAGACCGAAGAGGGTTCCACTTATGTAGGTTAATAGCTTAGGTCAGGACTGCCATGACCACATGTGCTCACACACACACACACACACACTCACACTCACACACACACACACACACACACACACACACACACACGCACACACACACACACACACACACACACACACACATATATATTTGTGGGGTTGTGGTCTTGAGTTGCAGTGTCTGTGTAAAATTGCTGACACAGGAAGATTGCTGTCTTTCAGAAATCTGACCGACAGCCTCTCTCTCTCTCTCTCTCTCTCTCCGTTTTTCTTCCTCTCTCTCTCTCTCTCTTTCTCTCTCTCTTTTCCTCTTCCCCTCTCACTTTTGCTCTTTCTCTTTCTCTTCCTCTCTTTCCTTTTCTCAATCTCTCTCTCTCTCTCTTTCTCTCTCTTGCTCTCTTCCTTTTTCTTTCTCTTTCTCTTCCCTTCTCCCTCTCTTTTCCTCTCTCTCTCTTGCTCTCTCTCTGTCTTTGTCTTTCTTCTTTTATCTTCCTCTCTCTCTCCTTTGCTCTCTTTCTGTCTTTCTCTCTTTCAGTTCAGTTCAGCACTGCTTTATTTGCGTGAGTGTAACAAAATTGAATGTTACAGATAACAATAAAAATAAAGACAACAGATATAGGTTAGAATAAAACACTGTTTACAGGATATTTATAAGATTATTAATAGTCAAAGAATAAAAGAAAAGGGTGAAAATGTAAGTTTTCATAGAGTTTCCAAATAATCGGTTAATAATCAGCAGTAATTTGATGGTTTGCCTCTCTGGTTGTCCCTCAGGTTGTGACAGACTGTCACAAATCTTGCTGCGTGTGTAATCAGCTCGCTCTTCTCTCCTGATATGTCCAGGAGTTTTAGTGTAGTGGAGTTTTAGTTTCTCAGTGTTACTGCGGTGTGGAGACTCGGGGGAGAGGCTGCTCACTTTCTTATAGAATATATTTCTAATAGAATCACGCTGAGGAATCTCTGTTAGAAAGTGCAGCTCTTTCTTCACCACTGCAGGCTCACAGTGAGAGCACAGTCTGGACTCACTGAGCTCACTGAGTCTGAACATCCTCAACATTTTCCTCAGTTTCTTCTCTTAAATTGATGTTAAGTTGCTAATAATCTCATTTTATGGCCAAATAGCTTTGAAGTTTGTGTTGTTCTGTTGTTCGTTCAGTGCAGTAGGTGAGATTATTGTGTTTTGGGGTTTTTAGAATTTGGCTGGGTCTGATTTTTTGAGCGAGTTTGTGTCTGCCTCTGTCTGTCTTTCTCTCTCGCTCGTTATCTAACAGAGTCTAAAGTCAAGTCTTTATGTTAATAGTGTCATAAAACTAAATTCTGAATGAGAACATGAATTGTGTTCTGAATGTCTCGCTCAGAGACTGTCACTGTGCATCCAACAATAAAGGCAGCATAGAGCTTCTTATGTACAGTGATAAGAAACAGTAGCACACAGAAAGCTGCAGTTCCACATGCTGACCAATTTTACTGTGACCACCGTGGGCTTGCATGCTCACCAACTACTCTGGTTAAAGTGTTTATTTACTCGCATCCTACAGCAGCACTGCAAAACCTCTCCTTCCTAATGTTGTATCTTGAAGATGGGAGGAACTTTTGAGAAGCTACAGCTGCTTTGGAGCTGGATTTTTGGGGGTGGGATGTTTTGAAAAGGTTTTTTTTTTTTTATCATTAGCTGGTGAATGAAGAAGGAAGTCAGATAGATAACAGCACTGCTAGGAAGCCAAATCTCTCATTGCAGCCACATAATTGTAGCAACTGTAGTGACTGTAGTAAGTAATGTTCAAATCATCATTACCGTAGA